TTCTCTGGATTGAAGGACTTTGGTGTAGAGAAAACCTCTGGGCGTATTTCACAATGGATGCTCTCTCCCTCCCCCGCCACAGCCAGGAGAGGATCTTTCTCAGATCTTTATTGTGAAAATCAGACAGCGTTCCTGGAGGTAAATGCCCCACATGAGTGGGAATCCCCTTAAGACTATGGGTCCCAGGAGTGTCTCTCATCACTAGCTTCTCTCATCACCAGTGTCCAGGCATTTATCAAAGTGTTTGGGTTTATGGATCCAGCGTCTCCTCCTGAAAAGCGAATGGCAGTTGAATTCCTCTGCTTGCACTTACGTCTGCATTTTGGGGAGAAGCACTCTGCTCTGTGACCTTGGTTCCCTAACGGTCCAAGAAAAGTCATTGATTTTCCACTTATCTAACTTTGTCTTATTGTAAGGATGGAAGTGACTGGACATCCGTGTTATTTTTATACATAAAGCATTCCTCCTTGTTTTTGTCTGTGATCAGCTTAACCTTATCCTAAGCCCTCTCTTATGCATTTCATTGTTGCCCAGGCTTCCAGAAAACCATCTAGATGCAGGTTAAATAAATCTTTGGTAAGAAGATAATTTGCTTCCCAAAATGTCAGTGTGCTTATCCAAGTTAAACATTAGTATTCTGATGTGAGCCATTCTAGACATGGTTTGATGAAATTAACTGAAGATGAGGACCACTGATGAAGAATTTAAACAGGATTAATACCTTCATTTTAAAAGGTGGATAAGGTGGGTGAGCACATTAATGGTTTCATCCATTATATCTCTTGGTGCTAAGAATTCATGTCCTTGCCCTATTTAGGTAAAGAATTTTTATTTCTTGGCAGAAATAAGATTATATATAAACTGAACTATAAGAGTAATTTTTCTCAATTGACAAAAGGCACAATGTTTGCCTGAAGCTCTTATCTAATAGCTCATTGTATATTGGACTGTTTCTAAATCAGCCAAAGTTTAATAGCGATGGGGAGAGATTAATTATCAGAGGCCCTCCTTCTCATTAAAAAATAGATTTACCACTTGAAAACTGCTGAACATTGTTTAAACATGTTTACATATCACTTCAACATTTAGTATTAATAAAATGTCTTATAAAATAGTGTCTATGTTATAATTCTTCTTGTTAAAATATGTATATAATGTTATATTTGCATATTTAAAAAACTAACAGAAATATTAAGCAAGTATGTGTGTTTTTTTTAATTTCCTTTTTGCATGTTTCTATTTTCTGAGTTTTGTGTAATGAACAAGTAATGCTTTCATGAAAAGAAGAAAACCATAGACATGAAAATAAGAGGAATAATTCATAAAATACAAGACTTGAAAAGAATTTGGATTTATTTGTTAAGCCAGTTAAGCCAGTTCCTCATTTCTTCAGTTGAGGAAATGGAAGTACACACCAAAAAAAAAAAAAAATCCTCTTGAATACTGTTTCCCCATTTCTGCTTAAAGAATAATAACCATTTTTAAAGAGCTAGTTCAAATATGCACAGTTTTGGCATTTCTGTGGTAGCATGTCTCACATCTCTCACCAGTTGTAACATTTTTCAAGTATAACGTGAACCATGAAGAAGAGAAAGAGATGCTGTGGGGATGAGGATGGCTTCTCCTCACCATCTGTCCAGTGCTTAGCCATGTATCTTAGTTGTTGTTGCTCAGTCACCAAGCTGTGTTCGACTCTGAGACCCCATGGACTGCAGCACACCAGGCTCTCCAGTCCTTCACTGTCTCCCAATGTTTGCTTACATTCACGTCTACTGAGTCAGCAATGCGATCTAACCATCTCATTCTCTGCTGCCCCCTTCTCCTTAGATTTCAGTCTTGACCAGCATCAGGATCTGTTCCAATATCTTACTTATGCTATTTTAATTAACCCTTTAATCTTTTCAATTAATTTTTATTGACGTAGAGTTGACTTACAATGTTTCAGGTGTCCAACAAATTGATTAGTTTCTATTGTACATATATATGTGCATACATTGTTGTTATTTAGTCACTGAGTCATGTCCAACTCTTCTGCAACCCCATGGACTGTAGCCCGCCAGGATCCTCTGTCCATTAGGGATTTCCCAGGAAAGAATACTGGCATGGGTTGCCATTTCCTTTTCCTAGTGATCTTCCTGACCCAGGGATTGAACCCACATCTCCTGCATTGGCAGTCAGATTCTTTACCACTGAGCCACCAGGGATGCCCATGTGTATATATACTTTTCAGATACTTTTCCATTATGGGTTATTACAAGACATTGAATACAGTTCCCATTAGAGATTATTATAAGACATTGAATACAGTAGGTCCTTGTTTATCTATTTTATGTATAGTAGTGTATATGTGTTAATCCCAAATTCCTATTTTACTACCCTTCTACTCCCTTCCCCTTTAGCAACCATAAGTTTTTCCTATGTCTGTGAGTCTATTTCTGTTTTATAAATAAGTTCATTTGTATCCTATTTTAGATTCCACATATAAGTCATATAATATGATATTTGTCTTTATCTACCTATTTAATTCACTTAGCATGGTAATTTCTAGGTCCACCCACATTACTGAAAATAGCATTATATCATTCTTTTTTATGGGCTGAGCAATATTCTATTGTGTGTGTATATATACATATGCTGCTGCTGCTAAGTTGCTTCAGTCATGTCCAACTCTGTGCAACCCCATAGATGGCAGCCCACCAGGTTCCCCTGTCCCTGGGATTCTCCAGGCAAGAGTACTGGAGTGGGTTGCCCTTTCCTTCTGCAATGGCTGAAAGTGAAAAGTGAAAGGGAAGTCGCTCAGTCATGTCTGACTCTTAGCAACCCCATGGACTGCAGCCCACCAGGCTCCTCCGTCCATGGGATTTGCCAGGCAAGAGTACTGGAGTGGGTTGCCATTGCCTTCTCCATATATACATATACATATATATAAATACATATCACATCTTCTTTATCCATTCATCTATCAATGGACATTTAGGTTGCTTAATTAATCCTTTCAATACCTTCATGACTTAAATATTACTCTCATTATTCAGATGAATAAAAGGAAAATTAAACAGGTTAAAACATTTTAGAATCTTAAAGTTGTCTTAAAGTTAAGACAACTTTGTCAAAACCCACAGAACTTGAGTTCTACATAGGTTCATATTTCTTCAAAACTTAACATATAGTAAATACTCAGAAAATGTATTTAATAATCAAAGTACTTATTAGCAGCCGACTGATCCTTCAATTAATTCACAATGAAAACAACTTTGACCACAACTAGCACTTGAAGTCCAGATTTTTTGAACAAATAGAATTCTTTTTCATCACCAAAAAGTGATCATCACTGCTGCCATCTGGCTTCCTGTTCTCTTCTATACTGTACTTCAAAACGCTTTTTTTAACTTATCTGTTTGCTTGAAACATCACTTTCTTTTTTAGACACCAGCTTCTTGCACTAACCTTTTGCCTCCGAGCTTAAATTCTAGAGCTAAATAACAATAGCTTATATATTTAGCACTTTCCTAAAAACTACCACGTTGGATAATTTGTTTGGAAACAGATGGGATAGATATTATTACTTTCATTTTAAGGATGTGAAGGCTAAGCCTCCAAACATCTCTGTGATTTGCTTATGAGCTTATACAACTTATACAGCTCTTAAATCACAAATCTAGGACCCAAGGGGAGTTTTCTGATCCCAGATCTAATATTCTTCCCTCTATGTTATGTGGTCTGATCATACATTCTCTTTGTCACCCCTTTAATTACCCACTACACGTTCTGTTACACTTAGTTTCACTTCCATCCTTAATGGACACTTTCAATCTCTTAGTTTTTTAGCTTTTGTTCCTGTCAGGGTTTTTAATTGCTTGCAACAGAAACTCACTCTGGCTGAACTAAACAGGGAACAAATTTGCTGAAAGAATAGCAGATAATTCAGGAGATCATGGAGATGCAGGATGAGAAAGAGGTAAGAACGAGAGAAGAGGGCAGCAGCCAGATAATCTGCCAGAGCTGTGCTCTCGAGCACAGGGTACCTCTGGCCAGTGCTTACCTTTACTGACACCTCTGATCTCATGCTTATAAACAGGATGTTGTTAGCACCACTGCTCTTGCCCACTGCTAGAATGCTTGTCCATTGTCCTTGCTTCTTTGTGTCAGTATCTCCTGTTTCAGAGTCTTGAATGGGTATGTCTAACTGGCTGAGTATTGATCTTGTGGTCATACTCTAGCTTCCTGGGAAGTTGGGAAACAGTAAGTGCTAAGTATGTTTAACTTCTATCATGGAAGGTGAGCTCTTTCTCTCAACAAGACTCATGAAGTATGTGTGCATGCATGCTAAGTCTCTTCAGTCGTGTCCGACTGTTTGTGACCCCATGGACTGTGGCCCGCCAGGCTCCTCTGTCCATGGGAGGCAAGAATACTGGAGTGGGTTGCCATGCCCTTCTCCAGGGGACCTTCCCAACCCAGGGACTGATACATTGCAGGCAGATTCTTTACTGCTGAATCAACATGGGCAGCCCTCATTAAGCATATACTTCTCTAAATATAACAAGGAGGTTGAAATAAAGTCCCCTACCATGACCAAAAAATAGCCAACTTCTAATATTGATTCCAATTTAGTTTTGCATGTTCTTTCTTTGAGTGAAATTTCTTTGAGATAAGGGACATATATAATTTATGACTATGTCTCGGTTGTCACTCAGCCAATAATTACACTTGCTCTGTGACATTCTGAAGGGTTTTAACTTGTCATTTAACTTTCACTTATCATCTAAGAAATTCCTTTTCCAAAATTATCATCTAATATTTCTCTCAAACGAGTGGATTTCATCATGGCTTGACAGCATGAACTGTGGCTTTACAAAATCTTTTCAAAGCATGAAAACTACGTTTGGTATATTTCCATGGCTTTAGATTTTAAGATATGCCTTGTTATTTTACTTTAAGAACTCCAGATATTTCTTCAACATCAATATGTTTCTGATTCTGAATAATCCTTTCCTCTGCAGTATTTTTGAACAGTGGCTTCGAAAGTATCGTCCTCTTCAAGACGTTTATCCAGAAGCTAATGCACCCATTGGACACAACCGAGAATCCTACATGGTCCCTTTCATCCCGCTCTACAGAAACGGTGACTTCTTCATTTCATCCAAGGATCTGGGCTACGACTACAGCTACCTACAAGAGTCAGGTAAAGCTCAGTTTCTCTCATATGAATTGCTCAGTCTGATGTGACCAATCTTTTCTGAGAGCATGCAAAACCTTATGATTTTACAGTGTTATCCCCCAATGCTTTAACTTGTAAAATGCATTATAATCCTTAGTTCATCGCTGATTTATTATTGCATGGCCCAAGCTGCAAGAATCTTTAAGCTCTTATCCATTCTGCTTAATATAAGGCATTCTGTGTGTGGCAACCTGGGAAGAGCACTAGAATTCAAATCAGATAACAGTGAGTGTGAGACCTGATGCTTTAGACTGACTTTGGTGTGACGTTGGGAATTCTGACTTCAATTCCCTGAATTTCAGCTTCTTAACCTAACATATTGGGAATATAATACCTCAAAGAGATATTGTGATAATTAAGGACATTAAGAGCCTAGTGCAGTCTGCACAAGAAAAATATCTACCAGTTTTAGAATCGTCTTTAGGAACTTCCTGCTAGGGTTATCAAGAAAACTTGTGAACATTTTGTTGTTGTTTTTTTTTTTAGCATTTTGATATTAAATCCAATTAACAATAATAATAATGCTAATAGATATAATAATAATTTCTATGACTATGATTAAGGTAGTGTTATAAAAGCCTAGGATTGTAACTATTTCTAGGCTTTAAATAATCTTCCTTAGTTTAAGTATGCATATATTTTCTTGATAAATGAGGAACAGATAGTAATGTTCTGCTACAATCTGAGAGTCTACTCCATACTATACATGCATTATTTGTCACTATATATTCAGTTCAGTTCAGTTAAGTCGCTCAGTTGTGTCCAACTCTTTGCGACCCCATGAATCGCAGCTATATATTAGGTATTATTACCCTGGAATAAGGTGAGGACATTGATGCTAAAACAATTTCAATGACTTTCCCAGTATCAAATACCAGCATACATATGAGCCAGATTTCAATACTACAGGGTCCTCTCCACTTAACAGAAGATGGTCAAAAGCAATAAAACAAGACAGAGCATGTGGATAAGAGGTGTTCAGCAAGCACTGATGTTTCATTATATTCATGGATAATTCATGATAAGGTGAATAAATTAGTAAAACTAAATGAACAGATAAATGACTTTTTTTTCTTTTTCCTTTTTTTCCCTTTATTTTGATTAGTTGGAGGCTAATTACTTTATAATATTGTAGTGGTTTTTGCCATATATTGACATGAATCAGTCATGGATTTACATGTGTTCCCCATCCTGAACCCCCTCCCACCTCCCTCCCCATTCCATCCCTCTGGGTCATCCCAGTGCACAAGCCCTGAGCACTTGTCTCATGCATCCAACCTGGGCTGGTGATCTGTTTCACACTTGATAATATACAGGTTTCAATGCTATTCTCTCAGATCATCCCACCCTCAACTTCTCCCATAGAGTCCAAAAGTCTGTACGATACATCTGTGTCTCTTTTGCTGTCTTGCATATAGGGTTATCATTAACATCTTTCTAAATTCCATATATATGCATTAGTATGCTGTATTGGTCTTTATCTTTCTGGCTTACTTCATTCTGTATAATGGGCTCCAGTTTCATCCATCTCATTAGAACTGATTCAAATATATTCTTTTTAATGGCTGAGTAATATTCCATGGTGTGTATGTACCACAGCTCTCTTATCCATTCGTCTGCTGATGGGCATCTAGGTTGCTTCCATGTCCTGGCTATTATAAACAGTGTTGCGATGAACACTGGGGTATATGTGTCTCTTTCAGTTCTGGTTTCCTTGGTGTGTATGCCCAGGAGTGGGATTGCTGGGTCATATGGCAGTTCTATTTCCAGTTTTTTAAGGAATCTCCACACTGTTCTCCATAGCGGCTGTACTAGTTTGCATCCCCACCAACAGTGTAAGAGGGTTCCCTTTTCTCCACACCCTCTCCAGCATTTATTGCTTGTAGAGTTTTGGATAGCAGCCATCCTGACTGGCGTGTAATGGTACCTCATTGTGGTTTTGATTTGCATTTCTCTGATAAAGAGTGATGTTGAGCATCTTTTCATGTGTTTGTTAGCCATCTCTATGTCTTCTTTGGAGAAATGTCTATTTACTACTTTGGCCCATTTTTTGATTGGGTCATTTATTTTTCTGGAATTGAGCTGGAGGAATTGCTTGTATATTTTTGAGATTAATCCTTTGTCTGCTTCCTCATTTGTTATTATTGTCTCCCATTCTGAAGACTGTCTTTTCACCTTGCTTATAGTTTCCTTTGTTGTGCAAAAGCTTTTAAGTTTCATTAGGTCCCATTTGTTTATTTATGCTTTTATTTCCAATATTCTGGGAGGTGGGTCATAGAGGATCTTGCTGTGATTTATGTCAGAGTGTGTTTTGCCTATGTTCTCCTCTAGGAGTTTTATAGTTTCTGGTCTTACATTTAGATCTTTAATCCATTTTGAGTTTATTTTTGTGTATGGTGTTAGAAAGTGTTCTAGTTTCGTTCTTTTACAAGTGGTTGACCAGTTTTCCCAGCACCACTTGTTAAAGAGGTTTAGGTAAGCCTGTATTGCTGTGAACCTTCCCCTTAGCACTGCTTTTACAATGTTCCATAGGTTTTGGGTTGTTGTGTTTTCATTTTCATTTGTTTCTATGCATATTTTGATTTCTTTTTTGATATCTTCTATGATTTGTTGGTTATTCATAAGTGTGTTATTTAACCTCCATATGTTTGGATTTTTAATAGCTTTTTTTTCTGCAATTGAGATCTAATCTTACTGCATTGTGGTCAGATCAGAAAAGATGACTGAAATGATTTCAATTTTTTTGAATTTGCCAAGGCTAGATTTATGGCCCAGGATGTGATCTATTCTGGAGAAGGTTCCATGTGCACTTGAGAAAAAGGTGAAAATGATTCTTTTGGGGTGAATTGTCCTATAGATATCAATTAGGTCTAGCTGATCCATTGTGTCATTTAAAGTTTCTGATTCCGTTTTAATTTTCTGTCTAGTGATCTATCCATAGATGTGAGTGGGGTATTAAAGTCTCCCTATTATTGTGTTATTGTTAATTTCCCCCTTCATACTTATTAGCATTTGCCTTACATATTGCAGTGCTCCTATGTTGAGTGCATATATATTTATAATTGTTATATCTTCTTCTTAGATTGATCCTTTGATCATTATGTAGTGTCCTTCTTTGTCTCTTTTCACAGCCTTTATTTTAAAGTCTATTTTATCTGATATGAGTATTGCGACTCCTGCTTTCTTATGGTCTCCATTTGCATGAAATTTTTTTTTTCCAGTCCTTCACTTTCAGTCTGTATGTGTCCCTTGTTTTGAGGTGGGTCTCTTGTAGACAGCATATATAGTGGTCTTGCTTTTGTATCCATTCAGCCAGTCTTTGTCTTTTGGTTGGAGCATTCAATCCATTTACATTTAAGGTAATTATTGATAAGTATGGTCCCGTTTCATTTACTTTGTTGTTTTGGGTTTGGGTTTATACAACCTCTCTGTGTTTCTTGCCTAGAGAAGATCCTTTAGCATTTGTTGAAGAGCTGGTTTGGTGGTGCTGAATTCTCTCAGCTTTTGCTTGTCTGTAAAGCTTTTGAATTCTCCTTCATATCTGAATGAGATCCTTGCTAGGTACAGTAATCTGGGTCATTACTTTAAGTATGTCCTGCCATTCCCTTGTGGCCTGAAGAGTTTCTATTGAAAGATCAGCTGTTATCCTTGTGGGAATCCCCTTGTGTGTTATTTGTTGTTTCTCCCTTGCTTCTTTTAATATTTGTTCTTTGTATTTGGTCTTTGTTAATTTGATTTATATGTGTCTTGGGGTGTTTCGCCTTGGGTTTATCCTCTTTGGGACTCTCTGGGTTTCTTGGACTTGTGTGACTATTTCCTTCCCCATTTTGGGGAAGTTTTCAGCTGTTATCTCATCGAGTATTTTCTCATGGCCTTTCTTTTTGTCTTCTTTTCCTGGGACTCCTATGATTCAAATGGTGGGGCATTTTACATTGTCCCAGAGTTCCTTGAGGTTGTCCTCATTTCTTTTGATTCATTTTTCTTTTTTCTTCTCTGCTTCATTTATTTCCACCATTTTTCTTGTACCTCACTTATCCTATCTACTGCCTCCATTATTCTACTGTTGGTTCCCTCCAGAGTGTTTTTGATCTCATTTATTGCATTATTCATTTTTAATTGACTCTTTTTTATTTCTTCTAGGTCCTTGTTAAACATTTCTTGCATCTTCTCAATCCTTGTCTCTAGGTTATTTATCTGTAACTCAATTTTGTTTTCAAGATTTTGGATCATTTTTATTATCATTATTCTAAATTGTTTTTCAGGTAGATTCCCTATCTCCTCTTGGCTTGGTGGGCACTTTTCATGTTCCTTTACCTGCTGGGTATTTCTCTGCCTTTTCATCTTATTTAGATTGCTGGGTTTGGGGTGGCCTTGCTGTATTCTGGTAGTCTGTGGTTCCTTTCCATTGTGGAGGTTTCTCCCAGTGGGTGGGGCTGGATGTTTGGCTTGTTGAGGTTTGCTGGATAGAGAAACTTGTGCCGGTGTTCTGGTGGGTGGAGCCGGATTTCTTCTCTCTTGAGTGCAATGGAGTATCCAGTAGTGAGTTTTGAGATGGGTCTATGGGTTTGGTGTGACTTTGGGAAGCCTGTATATTGACGCTCAGGGCTATGTTCCTTCGTTGCTGGAGAATTTGCGTGGTATGTCTTGCTCTGGAACTTATTGGCTCATGGGTGGTGGTTGGTTTCAGTGTAGGTATGGAAGCTTTTGGGTGATCTCTTATTACTTAATGTTCCCTGTAGTCAGGAGTTCTCTGGTGTTCTCAGGTATTGGGCTTAAGCCTCTTGCCTCTAGATTTCAGTCTTATTCTTTCAGTAGCCTCAAGGCTTCTCCCTCCATACAACACTGATAATAAAACTTCTAGGTTAATGGTGAAAGGATTCTCCACAATGAGGGAAACCAGAGAGGTTCACAGAGCCACATGAAGAAGAGGAAAAGGGAGGAAGGAGATACAGGTGAGCAGGAGG